TTTTATAACAAGAAGACTTGAGAAGTCATGTGAGGAATGAAAAGAAGAAAATGGAAAGAGAAGATATAGAGAAATTGGACTCAATTAATAAACTAGCAGAAACAAAGTTATAAGATTCAACTCTTGGTGGAGAACCTGACAAATCAAAGATGGTATAGAAGCAAAATCAAGACTTAACACTTAAAGTTGCTTATACACATGTCCCACACATACACTTTAAAAGAGAAAGAAAGAGAAAAAGGTTATAATGATATCTATATACAAGTCAAAAAGAGGAGAGAGAGGAGAGATTTTAGTAGGTGTGTGAGGGGAGAAAAGAGATGGGGAAAAATATAAATGTAAAGTGAGGACACACATGGAAATTGAATCCAATTAAGGAAGTAACAAAATCTAACTTAGAATATCCTATAAAATAGCCCTTCTTCTAAGAGAACATAATGCATCATGCTAAGAATTTATAGAAGCAATAACTAGCAGTCATGTTATTAATATACAAATACCCCACCAGTGTTTGGAAAAGGGAACACCTTAAAAATTGAAAAAGAAGTCAGTCCAATAATCCTTCTTGGGCTGGTATTTACAATGGAGTGTAAGTCCAGAGTTCTCTTCCTCCTCCATCCAAATTAAAGAGGTATTATAGGGCTTAGAGGAGGGTGATCTTCACCACCCTGAGGTCACGGATGGGAAGTTTAGCAGGTTGGGAAGTGGGTGAATTATATTCCACTTACTGACTTAAATATTTATATACCTGAGAGGGCATTAGAAAAATCCAGACTTTCTTCCAATTCTGTCACTTGTATAATCCACAGACAGGTCTGGATCATGGGCTAGCGTTCCATAAATTTTCAGGCTGTACTTCTCGAAGTTTTGCTGGCCAGTGTCTGTGCAGCTCCGTCTTCAGTCTGAATGGAGCCAAACAGACCAGATAGGGAATGTATGCACAAGGACTGTGTTTTCAGGACCACTGAAATCCTGCCTTTCATTAGTTCCTGCAGAAATACACTCAGACCCAAACTCTCCCACCACAAAGCATCATCTGAATTCACTGTCTGCCACTACATTCAAACCACTTCTTTCAGTCTGTAACACCAGAATTTTAGCATTGGCCTAGAGTTCAGTCTCTCACAAACTGGTGGATGGTGTCTAACTTCTGATCTCATGATTTTAGTTTTACCATGTCAGTTACCTTTTGGCCAGGCCTATTCTAATTAGGGTAGGTAGTCACTTTTTCAAGTAGCACAGTCATACTTTAATCTTGAAGTTTCGAAAAAATGTCAGAATTTTCTGCACCTATTCAGAGAATCGCGCAAGATGGCTTCCTGCCCCACATCAGCCCAAGATCATTTCCTATTTGTTATACTGAAGCAAGGGGTAGGAAGCTACAAAGATGGCTTTCCAATCCAACCCTGTCTAAATGCAGACAGAAAGATGCAAAGTTCCATACTCATCTCTCTTCACTTGGCTATTGTTCTATCTCCCATCTGCTCGGACTGTAGCAAAGCTAGTTCTCATAAGATAATGCTGTTATTTTTTACCACTACATGGAAGGGGAAGATCACCCCCCGACCCTGAAACTCTGAGCTGCCATTTTTTCAGTGCCAGAATCTTACTTCAATTACTTACCTAATTACCTGCATTTTAGGGTTTCCTCCAATTGCTAGCTCATCCTGTGTACCCCTAGCTTCTCAGAGAGCCACATACCTATTGCTTTGGATTAATATTCTGAAACAACTTATGTTTACATGCTTCCTATAGTTCACAATTTTACATCTATGATCCATTTTAAAAGTCCAGACAGAGGTGGGTATTTTGATCCTTAAGAATTAGATTAGGGCCAGGATCTAGCTCAGTGGTTCCACTGCCTGTCTCGCAAGAGCAAGGACCCGAGTTCAATACCTGGTCCAAAAAAAAGTTAGATTAAATCATCAACTAAATAGAGATGTAAAATAAAAATATTGAGTAATAAGTCACTCCATTAGGAGACTATAGAGAAGGGGAGAAATTTGCCAGAGAGGTTGATAAAAAGTAACCAATGAGGTTTTGGGGAAATAATGAGAGTAATAATGTATCCTGGCAGTAAATAATACATTTCAATAATGACAGACTGATCAAAAGCATCAAGTACTACTGAGAGAAGATGAAGAATTAGGTGTTAGATTTAGCAATATAATGGACATTGGAGAACTTGACTAGACCAGCTTTAGAGACTTTTCCTCCTTGTTTTGCTTCCTGGCCATGAGGTAAGCAGTTTGCTGTGCCAAGTGCTCCCCACCATAATGTGCTACCTCACCTCAGGCCCAAGAAAAACAGAACCAATCAACCTTGGGCCAAAACCTCTGAAACCGTGAGCCAAAATAAACTTTATCTAATTATCTCAGGTACATATTATAGCAATGAAAGATAACATATGCAGTATCTTTAAATCTTTTAGGGTGGTTAGGTATGTTTGAGTGTACATGAACTACTACTAGTTTAATCTTTAACATTAAATTATGCTATATTTCACATCTTTATAAGGCCAATATGTTAGAAGTTGCTGTGATAAAATGTACTGTATTCCAATTAGTGTGGAACAGTAATTGAGGGTGGCAGTGTGTAATTTAATTTCAAAGTCTTAAGAAGTTGAGCAGGATCTTAAGTGTCACACCATTTTAAAAGATTTTATAAAAAGATGAAATTGAAATATTTTTCTTCCATTTCTAGATACGAAGGTAGCATTCAAATAACCTTCATCCATGACCTTTACCTTTTCCTTTGAGTGGGGACAAGATCTGGAATATAATACATTCTTGTGCTTATACTAAATTATATGGCAAAACACAGCTGAATTCAGGAAGGCCTAATACAATCATATGAACACTTTAAAAGCAGAACTTTCTATGGCTGGAGGCAAAAATCAAAGAATTTCATGTACCATTGCTGGCTTGGCTTTGAAGGTATAGTAACCCACAAGGGATACAATCTGGTGTTCCACTGACACTACCTGGAAGAAAAGGGTAACATCAGTCCTACAACCATCAGTAACTAGATTCTGTCAACAACCTGAATGATCTTAAAAGATTCTTTCCCAGGGTTCCACACAGGGGGTCAGTCTGGGTAAGATATAGATTTCAACTATGTAAGTGCTTAGAAAAAACAAACACGCCTATTTGGACCTGGAGAACCACAAAATAGGCACTGTTTAAAACTGATTAGTTATTAATGCACAGTGCAGCAAATAGAAAACTGAGTTGCCTAAACCTTAGTAGTAAACAAAACTATTAGGTATTCCTTTTGTCTAGGGATCTAAAGAATAAACATGCAAAATACTAAAACTCTGAACCAAGAAAATCTAGGAGCCTCTAATTTAGACAAATCAGGACTTATTCTTGGAGCTGAGTACGGTCAATCCCACCCAAACTGAATGGCTGCCACCCAACTGGGGAGAGTAGGAGGAAAAGCCAGAAGTATACAACAACAACAACAACAAAGAATAAAAGGAGACTTAATACACATTAGCAGAAACTAAATTAATGAAAAACACTAAAAGTAGAACGGTGCTCTAAAAATAATGATGTGAAACAATTTCAACAATGAGAAATAAAAATGAGACGAGATCTAACAAATGCCTCATTCGTCTCCCTGAATGAGAGTCCATAATGTATGAGTCTAAAACAGTAAGCTACCTAACAGAAGAAAACTTCTGAACTGAAACAAGGCCTGCGTAGGCAGCTGGAAGAACTCATAGTGTTAAGGAAGGAAAGCAAGTGAGTTCTGAACTATGAAGATAAATGTTTTGTAAATAACAGAAGCTTAAGAATTAGAACCTAAAAACATATTTTAATTAAAGCATAAGGAAAAAGTACTATTAGTATCCACATAATACAATGACATTACTCTCAAAAAAAAAAAAAACCCAAGTTGGCTCAACAATCTATAGCACATTCATTCTGCAGTCACACCTGACTACTTTTATATTTTTATTTGTGTATATATCTCACTCTCTCCTGCCTTCCTTAGAACCTTTGGATTTATCTCCCATGTTGGGAAAGTTTTTTCACTTACTTTCTCTCTTCCTTATTTAATCCCTGCTTTTCCTTCAGATCTTAATTTTTTGAGTGAAGAACGTTGACCACTCTAGCTATACAAAAACAATAGCTTATGCAACTATAATAGTACATAAAGGAAGTTGAAAGGACAACACCTAATTTAAATTGGTCACTTTGGATCTCTGGCCCTCAGCATATTGTGGCTTTTACTGCACATGAAATAAGTCACTGAAGTGTAATGAGGAGTGACGTGTTTAAGATCAGTTCTTGGTGGAAGGAGACCATTTATGAGGCTATTAATAATTACACTGCTAATCACTGTGCTGGGGTTAGAAATTGGTCAGATTTGGAGTATTGTGAAAACAGAACCAACCCAAGTATAAGTTTTTTGGCCTGAGTAACTGGTGTAATGATGTCATTAGCTAAAATGGGGATAATTGTAAGTAAAGGGGGTTTGAGAAAAGAACATTATTTCAGTTTGGGTAAGTTTGAGATATTTATTAAGACACTTAAGATTTAAATAGGCAGTTTGCTATACAAATTTGGAATGTAAGAAACATTTGAAAATAAAAAGCTGCAACTTGTCAATATGTAGCATTTAAAGCCATGAAACTGAACGAGGTCACCAAAATAATGAATAGAAGCAGAAAGGCAAATGAAAGGAATGAGAATGAGCCATTTAATGAGGTATACGTATAGTCTTCTGGAGGCAAAAGTAGATCAAAAAAGAAAGGGAACAACTGCCTGGTCTTTGTAAAAACAAACAAACATTTGGCATCAATACTGGAATAGATAAAAGCTTATTCAGAGGAAGAGCTGAAGATTGTTGACGTCAAAAGTGGGATACAAAATAGTAAAGAACCTTATTCTGCTAACACACACACACACACACACACACACACACACACACACACATATATTCAGAGGGAGCACATTTAAAGATCAGAAAAAACACATTTAAGTCTTAAGTGATAAACTTTCAATAATGGAAGCTTGATATTTTAATTTTTGAGTGTATTTTAATTTTTAATATTTTAGCTTGCTATATTTTCCACAATATGCATACATTACTTCTGTTATACTTTATACATTTATGAAAGGAAGCAATGATTTTTTTCTACTGATAAACTACAAAGCTTGAAACTAACCCGGGGACAGCGTAACATGGAAATCACTGGTGACTTTGACAAAACGTGTTTTAGTGAAGGTGGGGGAGCAAAACCTGAATGGAATAGTTTAGCAATGCTTCAAAATATTAAGCCTAAGAGTTATTGTGTGACTCAAAAATTAAAATGTTTAAGTATATACCCAAAAGAACTGGAAACTGTTCACACAAAACTTGTAGATTAACATTCACAGAAATATTTTAAGTTGCCCAAAGTAGAAATAAACAAAATGCCTTTAAGAGATGAACATTTAAGTGTGGTACAAGCAGCCCACTTTATCCATAACATAAACAACATTGTATCAACCAAATATATCTACTTTTTCCTTGTCATTATTCTCCAGTGTATTATATACATAGATTGTATTAGGTATTATAAGTAATATCTATATATTACTCATACAGGACATAACATATGTAAATACTATGCCATTTTATATAAGAGACTTGAACATCAATAGATTTTGATATCTTTGGAGTTTCTGTAACCAATCCTCCACAGATACTGAGGAATCACTGTTAACAGTACAATGGAATATTATTTGGCAATAAATAACGAAGTATCTACTCATGCTACAATGTGAACAAATCTTGAAAACATTAAGTGAAATAAGTTACAAAAGTAATTATATAATTTCATGTATACAAAATGTTCTCAATAGTGTTGCTTAGATGGGGGAATGAGGAATGAGGTGATTGCTAATGGTCATGACTTCGAGGATGTTGAAAGTGTTCTAAAGTATTAGTAGCTGCACACCTTTAAATAAAACCACTTTCCAAGGGTGAATTTTATAGTATGTGAATTATATTTCAATAAAGCTGCTACTAAAAAGAGCCTAGTTGATGGACTTGTTTCCCTCCTGTTCAGTATTTTCTATTTTCTTTTATTGTCATTGTAGTTTTTCTTAAATGTGTCTTATTTCTAGGACTTGTTAATCATTTTTAATATTCTCCCTTCTTAATCCCTATGCCCACACTATTCCCTCAATCTCTCCCAAATCAAAAATTAGCCAGACAGAAAAAGTACCACTCTATTAAGGAAAGTATACAGGTTAAAAAGTATTAAATGTGTTCAGATCTACTTTTCATGCTATTTAACATATGCACATATACAAAAAAAAAAAAAAGGAAATGGAGAAAGAGAATGAATTGCTGCCTAACAATACATCACTTTAAGCTAATAATACATTAAATACGCAAAAAGCCTGAATTCTAAATACTGTTTTGGATTTACAAAATAACTTTGTAGAGTTGTAAGTATCCTTCACACTTGAGAAATATCTCAACATTTAAATAATGCTGCTGTGTAATATATTTTCTTTCATGAAATTAACAAAATAACTGGTGACTAGAAAGTATCATCATTTTATGCATAAGATCAAGAGTACATATACAAATTCAATGGTAAACTTATGTTTACAGCTTATTTCCTCTCTTGAATTGCAGGATTTCAACAGTATATAACAACTACTGTTGAAGCAACACATGAGAAATTTAGCTAAAGATACAATAACAAAAACCCGGTACAAATACTCAAACTTCAGTTAAGACAATAGAAAAATAAAGAATTTTTCCTTCCAAAAAAGGTATCTAAAGACAATGGTTCAGGTATCTCATGTATATTAGTCATATATCATGTGAATCAAGCTTTTCTGTACTCCTTAAATAAAATTTTGTAATCTATTGATGAAAGTTTCATATTTAAAAACACTTTCAGAATGCATCTATAATTAACTTACAGTAGTCTTTTAGTTTTGATTTCAGTGGTGTCCAAAATACTAAATGGAAAACTCTAGGAAGAAATAATTCCTGAGTTTAAGTTTTATGTCATTCTGAGTAGTGCAATGAAATCTTACGCTGTTCTGCTCAGAATATAAGTCACACCTTTGTCCATGGTATCCACACTGGTATTTAAGTCACTGTCTCGGTTACTGGAGTGGCTGTCAAAAACTGCAGGGTACAGCACTATCTTTGATTTCAGATATCCACTGGGGGTCATAAAACATATCCCTGGTAGATACGGGGTGACTACTTTATTAATAAAAAGGCCTATTTTTAAAAGTTATTACACTGAAGTCTTTAAGTATAGGACATTTTATTTTTGTTGCATCTTCTTACGCATTTCTTCAAGAGCTGCTTCTTTCTCTCTCAGCACCTGTTTAAGTCTTCTTATTTTTTCATCTCGGATGGTTTCTTCCAATTCGGGTGGTGTCACTGGGAAAATATCTTCAGTATAATTTTTATTAAAGGAATGACTTGGCTCAAACATTATATTTGAGTTCAATGTACCTTTCTGCTGCTTCTCTTGGGAACAGTATTTTATATTGGTTCTCTTTTCTTCTCTGGTTTTGCTGTGGCTTGGGAGAATGTCATGTTGTAATATATGTGAAGTTGAGAAAATACTGCTAAGGGTTTCAGAAGTGGTGACATTTGTTTCCCCATTTGTGACTGTGTTAAAAACACTCTCAGTTTTTCTCTTCTTTGTGTGATCCATCTTCTTAATGGTTTTTGCTTTTCTTTTCTTACCAAAATTCTATTGCAATGTGGAAAAGATTTTAAAAAGTTATTGCCATAGCTTATACATAACATACTGTACTCTCAAATTTAACAAAGTTGGTAAATACACATATTTAGCTATCTAACTGAATTTAAAGAAATTTCCTGGGGATAACTATAGCACAAAAGAAATGGATCTCAGGGCCAAGGATTTAGCTCAGTAGCACCGCACCTGAATTGCAAGCACAAGGTCCCGAGTTCAATCCCAGGTATCAAAGAAAAAAAAAAAGGAATGGGTCTCACTGTGTGGTACCTAATCACAGTCTCTGCTTATTTCACTGCTTAATTCAACTGTTCAAGTCACATATGGTAAGCCATAGTGACCAACCACCAAAATATAATAGAACTTGTAAGTACTTGAGATAAAAAACTGATTTTTTTTTTTTCTTTTTCTTTGCAGAGTGGGCATATGTGGATGTTTTTCATTTGGAAAGGTTGAAGTCTGGAATACTAAATCATGATGTATTCATTCATAAGTATAGTAATAATAGGTAAATTTACAGAGATATTTCTTTCCATTATTAATGGCCACACAGGTTGATTAAAATGTACTGAGTTAAATACTTCAATTTGCCAGGTTATATTTACTATATTTGAATTATTTCCTTTACATAAAGTCTCCAAAGTAGGATAATTAATTAAATCACTAAAACAGTAGATGAACAATAACTTAAAATCTTAAATGGGGACACATTTTTGTCTGTGTATATGTTGTTCTTTTAAACACTGTTTTGGTATATGTATTTGTAAACTTGGTAACAATCATCATTCATACTAACTACACAAGACTAAAAAGCATATCAAGAAAACTAATACATCCATATATCTTTGTAGTACCCACAAAAGACACTTTAAAATCTGTTATTACCTGGTTTTTTTCCTCTTCCTTTACCACAAACTCTGTCTCTTTGTATGTACCACTCTTCACCAAACTGCTGAAGTAATCAAAACCTTTTCCAGAGCCCAAATGGTCAGGAATTCGAGTAAGGCAAACTCTCAAATCTTTAGTGAGACCAAATATCTTTTTAAATTCAGCATCACTCTTCAAATGTGATGCCTTATTAATGCATTCTTGAGAATCTTTCTCCACCTTGCTTTCTCGAGTACAATTTTCTAATGTCGATGCCATCTCATTCTGGATCTGGAATTAAGAAAACACAAAAAATGCTGGTCATTACTCAAGTTATTTTATCAGACTGGCAACTAAGTGACTATTCAATCTCCCATAAGAATGTATCATGCTTTAAAGGATTGTACTACTTTTATCTTACCACCCACATTCAAAAATTGAATTCAAATTAAAACATTCCTCTACAATTTCTCATTTAATTTGTTGTACTAAAGAGTAACAGGTGGCCCATTTCCAATCAACTGAAATGAGAATAGACACTAATGACAAGTTAATAATAATTTATGTAGCATTATTTATAAACTAGTTTCCTAGAAAAGTCATATGTCTTTAATCAACCTTGTACTTATCAGAATTTTCCTCCTTCCATCTCTGGAACTCAATAAATTCTGTACTGAAGGGGAGAAATACTGACATTACAAAGTAGCATTACCTTATACTGACATTACCTCTACATAAACAAGGAAAAGATGAGTACAAATATTTAGTAAGCACGCACACATACACATGTAACTTCAGAACACAAAGGAACTGTGTATGTTGCTAGTGAGTATGTTGAGTAGATGGATAAGGAATTAGGAGATTTTAAAAAAGAAAAAATTGCCTACAAAAAAGCATAACAAAAGCAACAAAATCCTACCAAATATGCAGATAAAATCTATTTCCACAAATGACTAAAAGGTTCTTACTAGCCCTCTTCCCCTTTTCATTGTGCCTTAAAAAAAACTGTTGATTATCTCCCCACCAACATCACACAAAATAGAAAGCAATATCCCAGCCCTCCTATATGCATACTAATCTCCTCCCTTACTAAAAGTAGGCTACTAAATATATATGTATGTGCACATATTTGCATGTGTATATATACAATTTTATTAATTTTTTCAAGTCATATCACCTTTCCTAACTCTCCTAACCTTGACCTTGTTCTGTGTTGTTTGATTTTTGTATTGAAGATATGCAGGCCAAATGATTTAAGAGAAAGATACGGCTTGGACTCTCAATTGCATTCACGTATTAACTCGGATGAAAGTTTTGACTTAATTGTGTGTGATGATGGGAGGAGGGAGACGGGTATCATAGACAAGTTTGAAAATTAAGAAAGGAAAAATTTCTATATAGATATATAAGAAGAATATCCTGACATGGAAAAATTACCTTTGGTTCTTGGTCTCTGAAAACACACTGTTGTGAAGTAACAGCTGTTGCATCAACTGAGGAACTTATTTTCTCTATGCTCTGGATGATATTTCTTTTTCTCGGGGCACTCTGTCCTGTACTAAATCCATCTGGAAAGAGTGGTTTTGTGAATAAAGTCTTACTCTGTTTTGGGTAGTTACTGGATTGGTTCATAGTATTTGGGTTTGTGGTAGAAAGAGATGGTTTCTCCACTTTTTTATTCTTCTCTGAACTTAAATTGACCATGGAAGAAAGATGAGTATTTGAAAGTGATTTTATCTCCATCTGGAAAGATTTACTTTTAGCTAAAACAATATTTACAACCTCTTTGGATATTTCTGTAACTGGATTTGAACTCACTACCTGTGGTGTGTCTTTTCTTAATGAAGCATCAACAGAAACAGAATTCTGTTGGTCAGTTTGTGAAGGCAGAGCATCTGTTCCCTTTTTAGCCAACAGATAGACTTTCCCATTAAACATAACCAATGCATTATCTTTTATAGGCACACTCATAGATTGTGTCCCACTAGAGCTGACAGTACTCAGCGATGGCATATTTATAGTACTATCTCCCAAACTTTTCCTATCTACAAAACTTTTTAAAAGTTTTGATGCCACATTATTTGAAGATTTAACAGGAACAAGAGATGGAGTACAAGGCTGTAGATTTTCTTGAAAAATCCATTTCACTGGAGTAGCTTGAGAATGCTGACCACCTTTTAATTGTGTCTCTGTAGCAACTTTCGTTGGAATTTGTGTGGTATTTAGTATCACTGGTTTTCCTATTTCTTTAACAGGTTTTGGATAAATATTTTGGAAGTTCTTGGTAATTACGTTTTTCACTGTATTTACAGGAGATACATAAATAACTGTTGGTATTTGGGAGGCCTCAACTGTTCCTGAGGTACTTGTGGTTGCAGTTGCAAGTATCTTTTGCTGAACTGAAGGAGGCAATGATGATGCAGGTACAGATTTCACTTCAGCATGGGCTGGAATCTGTAAATGATGCCCAGAAGGCAAAACTGGAGATTTCACATTCACTGGAAGACTTGGGGAATTGACTACAATGTAAGATGAATCACTTTGTGTTGAGGTAGGAACAGCAAATGTTTGCATGGTGAGTCCATCAATTTTCACACCATGACTCTTAACCTTAGAATATGATGAAACAAAATTTTCAGTTCCCACAGAAGTAACTCTACCTTTTTCTTTTGTATCTACTGTTCTTGTAAGAAAATAGTTTGAAGAATTGGCTGGCTGTAAAATGGGCAATTGAACTGATGCACTTGTAGAGGAGCTGGAAATCTGAGTCTGAAAAGTAACTTGCACTGGTTTTCCTGTATTCCCTCTCAAAGCATCAGACATGACTGGAGATTGAACTAGCGGAATAAGATTTCCAGAAGAATTAGGAATTGGAAGTAACTGCAGAAGATTTTTTCCATCCGAGCCAATCGTCTGAACTACTTGGTACATGCAGCCTGAAACACTTAAAAGAACATTTTGAGTAAATAAATACAATATACTATGGTATATACATTTTATTTTAAAATTAAATTAATTTGCAAATATTATCTTAAATATGAAAAGTATATAATTTCCTATTTTCAGTTTCAAAGTGAAATATTGTAAAACAAAGATTCTGAAGAAGAGATAAAGATATAGTCAGATTTGGTTTAGACCTCACACAATTAAGCAATGAGTATGAAATATTAACATTTATTATTTTATTCTACATGATATAATGCTACTAGAATAAATTTCTAAACTATTCGCATCCTTTCTCCTTTTCTTTAAATTTTTCTCTTGTTCTCCTCTTTTACTATTACTGTACAAGATTCTCATTTTGCCTCTACTTATGTTTATTGTTTCCCTCACTCTTTCTCCCAACTCTGTTCTATCTTCTTCCCATTGACAAAGACTCACAAGTCCTACTGTTACCCTTTTTCTTTTTAATCTCATGCTGACAGCTTAGTTTGCCACATTTTTATACTGTAGACTTAACAGTTACTTATGCTAAGACTATTTTCTGACTTGCTTATTGTTTCAGCACATTTAAGGTTTGGTGCTAAATATTTCTTGATAAAATTGTCTATCAATTCATACATACAATACCATGGCAATTTTAGCTGAATAGTTTTCAATAAAGATGAACAGAATGGAAACCAACATTTTTTAACATAGCTAATTTTGATACCCATGCTTATGAGCTATTTCTTAATACAGGTTGTTCTACTTCAAGAAAAGCTTGCATAATCAATTACTAAGGGGTCCCTTGAATATAGACATCTCAAAGTATTTATATCTAAAGGAGTTTTACAGTTCCTGGGAAATATGGAGATTTCATGACATTTCAGGATTTATCACTCTACCTAGAAACTCCACCCCACCTAATTCTTCATAGACTTCAAATCTCAGTATAAATAATACTTCTCAAGAGATAAGTCTCTCTAGCCAACTTAACTATCTTTGACCTTCCTTTGACAATTAACCTATAATATTAGACCAGTTAATCTGCTTCATGATTTATATCTCAAGTTGTGGATATCAAAGTTATTTGCATATACTGTCTCTCCTGCTAAATTTTTGCAACACAAATGCAGAGTCCACAGTCCACAGACACATTACAACCAAATGAAGATGACTAAACCAAATGAAGGAAAAAATATAAAGACAAAGGATAATTAAGATTCTCAAAAGTGTAATGTCATGTTTTTCTACTTATTAGGTGTACTTTAAAAACTCTCAGGTATTAATAACAAAATGTTATACTGACTTTTAGTAAATTATATCTCTAAATGCTAAGAAAAGTCTGAATTCTTGCTTTCGGGGCTTGAAGAAAATCCACTCTTTCATAACCTGACTCCTGGCCAAAAAGCAAACAAAAACAAACAAACAATAATAACAACAAAAACAGATAAGAACTTATTCAAGATGAATTCATTAAGTGAAAATACACTGAGTGGTGTTATAGTTCAAGCATCAGGCTGAGTTAGAGGAAATACGTATTAAAAACTATCATCTGTGGGCCAAATCTTGGTCTACTCTGTTACTGTGCAATCCTCAAGCTAAAAATTTACATTTTAAATATATATTTTATATTTTAAATGAATAAAAAAAGTCAAAACGACATTTTGTGACATGAAATTATATGAGATTCAAATTTCAGTATCTATAAACTTTCTTATTACACAGTCATACTCATTTTTAAATATTTTGTATATGGCTGCCTTCAGGCTACAATAGTAGGGCTGAGAAGTCATAGCAGATTATCACATGATTTTCAAAGCCTAAAATATTTACACTCTGGCCCTTTATAGAAAGTATTTGCTACATTTTCAACTACATCATCCCATAATCCCTGAAATTACTGAGTACATGATGTGTATAAGCAATTATTAACTGAGATAAATGATGCACTTAATGTAATACAAAAACGTTTGCTTCTTTTCTTGTTCTTTTTCCAAGGCTGTCTGTCTTCTTTGCTAATTCATCCTACTTAAAGAGGAAAAGTCTTACTATTCTGTACTCTTTCCTAATTTATATAAATGAATTAATTAAATGATCACTTACATATTAACAATCCTAGTATTTGTATGCGTAGATCCTTTGAGATTCAGATGTGTGTATCTAAATGTCCCTCTTAATGTTTCCTATAAGAATCTTAAAGGTTCCTGAAACTTCACATGGCTAGAATTTATCTGTTCACCCAAATCTCTGAAATTCTTGGGCATCTCATCTATCACAGATGCCTAAGTCACAGCACACAAATCCTTCCTTAACTCCTATATCCAATCTATCAAAGACTCTTTGTTGATATTGCTTAAATTTCTCATGTATTTGCCTCTAGTCCAGGCAAATATCATTTCTGGCTTACACTATTCTGGCTTCATAATTGAACTTTTTACTTTCAGTCATATGTATCTCCTTTCCCTTTTGTTTATTTAGCACATCAAAACTGGTCATTCCCTGTTAAAACATCACAGTGGCTTCCCTTTATATTTAGAATAACAAAAGGAAAAGCATTGCTCGTGATGGAACAGGAGTCAATGGAAGATGGGATTTTAAGAAAACTGGACAATTACAGTAAAAGTTTGTGAGGGGCCAAGTAGGATGATTAGAAATGTACACTGGAAATAATGGTATGGGACTCATTAATGGCTTTAATAAAAGTAGATTAAAGAAAGAAGTTGCTGAAGAGGGAAAGACAGGCAACTACAGGGACCTACAGGAGAATATAGAGTCAAAGAAGGAATCCTCCTTTTATTATTGTATTTATTTTCATTTTTTTGAGATAGGGTCTCAACAACTAGTTTAGGAGGTCTTGAATTCACTATGTAGCCCAGACCAACCCCAAACTCAAGAGTAATCCTTCTGCCTCTTAAAGCTTCTCAAATGCTAGGATTACAGGCATGCATCAACATGGCCAATGGTCTTTTTTTAAGATCAGATGAACCAAGACATAAACAAATGCTCACGTAAGCCAGTTAAGAGAAAGAAATTGATAATTAAGGAGCAGCAGATCAGAATGAGAAGGCAGCAGAAAATGAGAACCAGAAGACAGATGGAGGGACTGCATCTTAAGTAATGCTGAAAAAGTATCTCGTTCCACAGAACTAAAGTATATGTTAGGTACATTTACAGGTAAGTTCATAACTCTAGTGTCAGAAAATTGTAGTTCTGATCTAATGGCCTTTATTTTTTGTATGAAAAGCATGACACCATCTACCAAGAATAAGAGCAAACAGAGAAATTTGACGAGAACGGAAAATTTTAAACCCTCTTTGTGAAAGAATAAGATGGCCCCCCAAAATATTAAGAGTTAACAGGTAGTAGTGGTGGCCAGGGAGACAGGTGGTGATTATGAATTTAGTCTCACCAATCTGTGCTCCTATAAGATTTTCCTTCACTTACTAGCCATAAGGAAAGAAATCACATTGCAGAGTTCCAGAATTTGGGTGGCTTCAGGGGGATGCAACAAAAATCAAAAAGGACCGATAGAAGTTAAGGTATCCATAAGAGTTATTAAAACAATGAAACATGGATCTAAACTGGATAGGAAGGAAAAGAGAATACAATGCTAACATGCAAAGATTAAAAGGATTATTGAACAGGTAAATTAAAATACAGCATATAGTAAAGGGTGAAGATGTAGCTCAGTAGTAAAAGAGGATATGCTTATTAGATGAAAGGCCTTGGATTCAAGTCCTAGGACCAAAGGAAAAAAAGTAGGAATATTTAAACAGCAAAGCTAGAAATCTAGGAACTAGCACTCAGAAATTAGGAATCAGTAATCTTGTAGGCTCAGCAATTTCATCTGCTAACAAGCACTACAGAAGTGAAAGATTGCAACAGAATGAAAAATAAGATCACTGGAGAAAGAGATCTTTGTACTGCAAGACCAGATAAAAAAGAGATTATCAATATAGATATCTAAGTAATGTAAAGTTAGAAAAATGATCACAAGGTACATGCCAAGTTCAGTGATACAAAGTTAGCAGACACTGTTAACAAACCACAACTGAAAACTGACATTCCAGGAAGTTGTCTTGAAGTCCACTCTTTTGCAGTCTATTTTCTGTCCTATGATTCTCTATTTCAGATTAACATGTACATCCTCACTGTCAAATCTCTCTTTGTCCCCATTCCAACATGGTCTCAACTGTACTGATACTACTGGCTAATTATCCCTTCCATCTGGAATTTCTTCCCTTTCATGGCTTCCATTATGCATAATTTCTTCTCCTCACTCTCATAATGATCCCTTTCTTACTCATTTTCTGCATTTTTAATTATTGGCATAACTATAGCCTCAAGTATTTTATGATCCTGTTTTTTTCCTTCAAGATATTTTTCTTTAATGATGGCATCAATTTTTATGATTTCACCTATTTCCTTCTCATGTCTATTTTCTAATAGTGACTCCTATAGTTATATCCTTTCATTCCTGTTCTCAATATTGACCAATATTGTGATGTCTTACCAGACATTTTCATTTAATACACTTCTTTAAATTCAACAAGGTGAACTTATATAAAAAAACTAGTGCTATACCCTACCACATGGTGCACTATTTTCCAGATGAAACAGGTTTTAAATCAACTCGTCATCTCTGATTTATATTTACCATTCTTCCTATTCACTTTTGATTTGACCATAAGACCCTGTGTATATATGCTTACAAAAGATATACAGTCAAGAAATGTAGAGCCAAAAATTTAGCTCAATGGTGCTGTGCCTGCCTTGCAAGTGCAAGGTCCTGAGTTCAATCCCCAATATCAAAAAAAAAAAAAAAAAAAACCATACACAAGAAAAAAGAAACGTATACAGAAGGAATCACTAAGTCTACTCTTTTTAACAAATTTCACTCATGTTATCTTCACCATTGTGACATCCACTGCCCAATCCAGCCCTCTTCACTTTGTATCTAGTACTTTTCATTGCAACTTTGTACTTTGTTTTGATGTCTACTTGCTCACACTGCAACTA